TTTCTTATTGAACAATGTGCTATTCCACTGAATATGGCAGGATGAACTGAGTTGGCTTTCGATTCTGGCTTGCTGACGTCAAACGCGGCTCCACGCACAGAGAACGAGTGAGAAATTGTTGAAAAAATGGCAATTTCCCTGATTGACGTTCATCATCGTTGCCGCGGAAAAGAGAGGGCCTGCGGAAGGAGGGTATGCGAGGGTGAGGGAGAGGGGGAGGACGACGGTGTCCTGGGAGTCGCACTGAACTGCTACTCCAACTTTGGCTTGGGCAAACATTTTGGGCGCCATTTCGCTCCTTGCGCTACTTTGTTGCTCCTTCACCTACACACTTACACCTACACACTTACAGCTACACACTTACACCTACACAGCCACTCACACACACTAAGATGTGTGGACCCTTACACAAATACTTTTGCAAGAGGTCCTTCTTGTTCGCTCTTTTGAGGGACTTGGCTGCTTTTATTTTACTTATACTTCGCTCTGCCGCTGCTACATTTTTGTCTTAAATGATTGCCATAAAAAATAAGTGCACATTATTGTTACAGCATAGCCGGTGGGGAAGGGGAAGGGGGCGGACAGAGACGGAGTGAGTGCGTTCAGAGGCACTTTACAGTCATCCATACGCGCAGTGTAACAAATGATTTTCAAAGCTTTTTTGCATTATCAGCTTTTTAGAGCCACCCCCACTACTCCCGTTCCACGGCTATCCGACAGTGGAAAACCTTTAAGTGATTTACATGGCTTACACTGCTGGAGTGCAGCAAGGATACCCTCGGATAATACTGCCACTTTTCTCTCCGCCTTTTGAGTATGTTGATCAAGTAACAAGTGACAGCGTCTTACAAGCGACTTATAAATTAAACAGTAACTTACACCTGCAAATAAAAATATGATGCTCAGATTTTCTTTCCAAGGTGTGAGTAAACCCAGAAGTTTATACTTAAAACCTTATAAGTTTAGCGAGCAGTTGGCCGTTGTAGTTCTTCCTATACTTTCTGGTGCGTACTCACTTAAGCAATATTCATTCACCCTCGAATTTTGCTTGCCACTCTCGATATTTATCGCAATTTAATATTCATACATCCCTCCATTTTTCTCGGCTATTCTTAAACGCGGTCCCTGCTACACTTGTTATTGGTGGGATGGCGGAACGGCGTTGTCACTCAGTAGCACGTGGCCTGGCATTCGGCAATGACTTCCTCCTCGGGGTGTATTCCACTGCGGAAAGGATGGCCGGTGTCGCTGGGAAATTAGAGGTCTGTTGAAAGCAAGGGAATGAATTGTAGCAGGCCGAGTGGACGCGGATTCGGAGGAGAGCCAGCTGTTGCAGGAATCTGCAGTCGATTGGCAGTCAATCGCATTGCTACGGCTGTCATTTCCCTGAATGTAATTTTCCAACCCACTGGGATAACTCTTGTTGCTTTCACAAAATTAAAGAAAGAAGTCTTCCGAGGAACCATTAGAAAGGAGCACTAAAAACAATAAATGGCTGGAATACCTTGGATAATGTGCATATGTAACATTGCTAATCCGCAGTGTCTAACGCAAAACAAAACCAAAACTTAAGCGCCAAATTCATATACAAGAAAAGAATTCGATTTTCTGTCGTATACGCAATATCGCCCATACGTAGTGTTTAACTCGAAAAGTTCAAAATACAAATAACATTTTTAAAGCCAGCAAAAGAAGAAGAGGACAGTACAAAAGTGAGACTGAGAGGGCTGTTGAATAAATATGCTGAAATAAATCAATATAAACAAAACGAATTAAAATCATAAATGAAAATCAAATTTTAAGCATTTTATTTTTCTCTCATATTTCTTTCACTTGCACACGTGTGGGTATACGTTTATATGCATGTGCGCAAGACTTTGCATAAGCCATAAATTAATTAAAATCAATAAAGTAAGCAAAGAGAAACAACAGCATTCGAGTAATCCATTGCTGTTTTGCAGTTACTTAGTTTGCACAATGGCCTCTGCCGGCATCGCATACATAAGTGCAATCGATATATGCTAATAAAACTGTCCCACACACTCGCAGCCACACACTTGAGCTGACACTTTTGGGGTTATTTTATAAATATTTGAAATAAAAGCGGAAAATCGCTTTAAATAAAACTCTGTGTGGGCGGCCATCGAAACGTACTCGAAACCGGCGATAAAGACTCGCACCTACAAAGCACACCCACTCGTCTCAATAACACAAACACCAGGTACAAATACGAAAAAGAAAGTTAGGTCTCCCGTTTACCAGATACCCTCTATTAAATGCTATAAAGTACACATGGCGTAGAAAAATATAGGTGAACAGGTCCATATAGTTGATTTAGCTGTAATGATTTCCGGTATAAGCTGTATACCCCATGTTTTCGGCAACTACCTTATCAATTTTACATCCATTTGCCCCAATAACAAACAAATATCCCTTTTTGGTCAGCGAATAATGGGTACAGATATTATAATCTAACATCAAAAACGTCAGCGACATGCTACACAAAACAAAAGTCAGGTGCACGCGTTTTTAAATGCCAAAGAGAGATCCGGTGGAACAAATGTGGGGAAACCTCTGTGCTGTAGCCTTTGCAGCCACAGTCCCTTCCGGAACTATATGCCAACCAAAGCGACCTTGATCATTGATTGTATTTGGCTTTCATAGAATGAATTTGCATATTTTGGGTGTAAATTGCTTGTTTTCTATTGCCTTTTTAATTAAAAAGTTTGCTTTACTATCATATGTGTGCCCATTTCTCATGTTCGATCTTAAGGGATATTGAAAATATGCAATTTCGAATCAATCATTAGTCTATTTCCATCAGGATAACCAAATATTGTAAAAGCTATGCCAAGATATAAAATATCTAGATTTAAATTGAAAAGTAATTTGTTTTGATTAATAAAGCTTCAGCTTAAGATAGAGTGGTATATTTTTAACGAATGCATGATGAATTCTGACTCTTAAATTTTCTGTAATTTTATAATGTGTTGTTAGTTGCGACACCAATGGTTGCATCAACGAGTAGCGTGGAAGTAAAACGTGTCCTCAAAGGCAGTAACCGAATGGCTATTTTTGGGCCCTATCAGGCACTCCAAATACCCCGATTGGAAGCCATTTATTTCCCGGAACTCTCTGATAGTCGCAGGCAGATCTGTCCCCCGACTTTTCCTGGCTGCCAGCCTGCCACACCCCTTTCCGCCTCCATTTGTGGCCGGGTCCTGCCGCTGAGCCGCGTGCGATCACGAAGCGCATAAATGGCATTTGACACGTGACAGAAATGTTCAATTTTAATATTTGCCCCACTGTGTTTGGGGCCCCAGCTTCTGGCCGTGTGGTTGTGCGGGTGCGCATTAGTGTGTGTATCTCGTGGTGGTGTGTGCTCTGGCCGAACTGAATTCCATTTGGTTTTCCAGCCCGCTATTGTTTCTTCGACATCATTTCCTCGGAGCTTGTCCCACGACTCCAAAGCCAAGGATTCCGTCGGACTGGGGCTCTTTAAATTTGTTTGCCTTGCATGTGCGGACACTTTGTTCAAATGATGCGACCTAATAACTGCCGGCAACCAGTTTCGGCCGAGGCTCCTAGTCCGGGACCGGCCCCCATCAACTTTTGACTGCCCATTAAATATTATGGCAATGCAAACGAATCAACAACACAACAACAGCCCCCAACGAAGGCAAACAACCTACAGCCGCGTTCAGCGAAAATCAACAACATCGACGGCGGGAATCAGCGGCAATCATTGCCTGGGCATTTGCCACTTTTGGCACTTTTGGCCGTTTTTGGCCTGTTTTGGTCTGTTTTGGCCTGTTTTGGCTATTTTTGGCGACGTGACGGCAAATAAAAGTTAAATGAAAATTAAACTATGCAAATACAAGCAAATTTCTGTGGTCGAGGGCCGGCGATTCAATGTCCTGCTGGCGTTTGTATTTCCGCAGAGCGTTTGATTGGAGTCCAACTGCTGGCCATTTGCCAATCGCTCTTGCAGCGCACTTCTGAAATTTGAAAATGAACAGGGCTACACTTAAATAAAATAATATCACATCTTTAGTCATAAGGACTTGGGAAATCTTCAGTTAGCCCGAGAAAGGTAAAAATAATAAATCAGTTTGATTTGGTTTTAATTCTGATATGGAAAATGCAGTCAACAGCTTACCAATATTGGCTGGTCTTTTTGACAATATTTATCGTGCGCTAACAAGCATATAAGTGACGTATACGCAAATACCCTAGCTACCAAACTCAACATACAACCTGTATATCCATTATTCCAATTGCCAATAACATAAGCCCAGAACCTTCTATTGCAGTTATTCAAATCAATCCGACATAAACATTTAAGAATTGTCAATAACATAAGTCCAGAGCCTACTATTACAGTTATTCAAATCAATCCAACATAAACATTTAACCCCTCAGACATAAATCTTTCCCACGCCTTCGATCGGCGGCATCCGAATTATAAAAACTTCACACGCCTTTATCGACGACGGCAGACATAAACAATATTCATACCTTTAAACAAAGCATAAAAGCTTTGGCCAATCCAAATTAATTAAACAAAAGATGCAGCCTAGAAACCATCCCATCAGGCCACAGTTTTGACCAATCAAAATTATCTAATCAAGGTCCACTTTCGCTGCTCACGCGCTGTCACCGGTAGAAGCCATAGTTATAAGAATAATGCATTTTGTAAAATCAGTTTAAGATTGGGGATCTAACTTGAAAGAACTTTACCAATAAAGACTCCGCTATATATTAAAATAAAAATCGCTTTTTTTTAATATATTCCGAACCGAAAAACATAATTTATATATATATATAATTCCCAATTATATAAATATATATTTTCAATTTATGCCAAATATGGGTTTTGTTATGAGTTTAGGCAGGGAACCACCTTAAAGCATTGATGACAATGGATAAGTAAGTGCCAAAAACTCACAGAATTGAAAAGTTGAATCTATATATTTAGCGTCTTACGATGAATGGTTGTATTTAAAAACATTTGCTGTAGTTTTTAAAGCCGTTACAGAACAGCCAACGATCAGAAACCTTAAAAATTTTAACAAGAACTGTTAATTTTGGGGGTGCATCTAGTGGTCGCATCTTCTGCCCCTGGCGGTCTGGATTTGGGGCATGCTGCAGAGCTGGCGTGGCACTCTGAAACGTCTCTGCAGCGAGACCTGGTGACCCGCGACCTTGGGGAGCTGTCCCTGGTCGAGGACGTCGCCCTGTTGCTGCTTGGGGTTGGTGGTGGGCCTGATGGGCGGCACAGCGGGACGAAGGGCGGGGCTGGCGCTCCGGCTGCATCCCTGGCCGTCCGCCACGGAGCACACGAGCCCGGGACTGGGGCAGATCTGGGGGTGGGAGTGGGCGTTGGCGTGGGCGTGGGCTTGGGCGTTAGTGTGGGCTTGGGCGTGGGCGTGGGCGTGGGCTTGGGCTTGGGCGTGGGCTTGGGCGTGGGCTTGGGCTTGGGCGTGGGCATCCTCAAAGAAATCCTCGTAGAGGACAAAGTTATTGCCCTGCGGAATGGGGCGCACCAGGCCGTAGTGCTTGCCCAGGAAGGCGAGCAGCTTCTCGGATGGCCGGTCCACGGAGCACTTGCGTGCCGCCCAGCCCTGCTCGTCGAGCATCCGCTGGAAGATCTGCTTGCCCAGGCCGCGGCGCTGGCGGGACTCGTGGACGTAGAAGTCGAGGATGGCCGGCGTTTGGTCCGCCCGCCGGCAGGAGCCCTGCTTGTCGAACAGGAAGAGGTCCTTGGTGCCGACCTTGAGCAGGGCGGTGACCGCCCAGCGGCCCGCCTCGTTGTCCGCCATCAGGTAGACCACTTGCTCGGTGGCCACCAGCTTCTCGGCGGTGGTCACCGGGTGGCGCAGCCCCTGGGCGACGGCCGACAGCTGGCCCATGGAGTCCAGGATCTGGCTCAGCTTGCAGCTGGCGGGCTCCGACGGCCCGCGATGGTGGGCCAGGTTGAATGGGTGGGGCCGGGGTCGCGCCTCGACCTTCGGACACAGGCAGTGCGCCTGCACGCGGATGATCGGCTGCGGAAAGAGGTGCTTGATGTCGAAGGCAAACTCCACCATCTTGTTCTCGTCTTCGTAGATTGAGCTGCGCTGGGTTGGTTAGTGTGACGATCTATGAGTTGGGGAGTACCGACATGTACACAGCCACAATATCTGATAATTTCCTTAAATTTGCTCTACTCGCCCGAACAATCACAGCACGATTTTTGTTTATACTGGCACAGGGTTCTCCTCCAGGCTGTTTTGATGTGAATCGGTCTGAGTTGAATCGCCCAGATGATGCGTCGAAGTGGAGAACGACAACGGAAACTACTTTTAGCTGCCTAAGGGCGAGTGAGGCTGAACAGTTTTGGAACTCTCAAATGAATTGGACAAAGAACAATAAAGTGTAGTTCCGTAAACGACTTTGATCACGAGTTGCACAGGGTAACATGCGAATGCGACTTTGATCATGTGTATCACATGGTATCGAAGTACACCCTCCCGACGAGGACTTTCTTTAGCAAGCATTACTGGGTATGAGAGCACGGATTTACGAACCCGAGAATTGGACAAACAAGTATTCCAGGGTAGCAGAGTGCGGTCTTCCGGCCATTGCAGCCATACTCTAGGCAGGAAAAACCCCAAAAAGTCGCCGATGAAAAGATATTATATTGTTCTTCTTTTAAGAACTTCGGGTATCCGTTTGAGAACAGATTTCAATACCATTTTCTTAGTCCAAGTACAACACTTTCTGAAATTGTAAGAACAAACTGTGATGGCTCTAAAATTAAAGTGTGATGGTCAGCTTTGTATGTGTATGGCTTAAGTCATATAGTTTTGAGAGTCACTTTGCTTGTCTTATCTTATCTCTAAAACAAAAGCTCAAAAGATAAAGCCACGCTTGTGTAAAAGAACTTTGGTTAGCTGATTTATCTTAGTCAGCAATACTGTCTGTTTTTTTTTTGGAAGTAAGCTTATCCAACGCCCACGCGGTTCATGAAAAACTTTTAAGCATGTGCATTTAGTTGGTCAGAGTCTCTCAATTAAATCAGATCGTTCTTGGAGTAAATAAAATCAAACACTTAAACACGTGATAATTTTTTTTGCACATGCCAAATAAATATAAAAGGCAAGTTTATTCAAAGTGCGTTACAAAAATATTAAGTGCACCATAGAAAACCGATCAAGATACGTAGGAAGAACCTAACTTGGCAAAACATACGAGGTGTGTTCAAAAAGTAAGGTGACTTTTCAAATTTCGCGGGCAACATATTTATACCCTTGCAGAGGGTATTATAATTTTGGTCAAAAGTGTGCAACGCAGTGAAGAAGACATCTCCGACCATATAAAGTATATATATTCTTGATCAGGATCACCTCCTGAGTTGATATAGCCATGTCCGTCTGTCCGTCTGTCCGTCTGTCCGTCTGTCCGTCTGTCTGTCCGTCTGTCCGTCTGTCCGTCTGTCTGTTTCTACGCAAACTAGTCTCTCAGTTTTAAAGCTATCGAATTGAAACTTTGCACACACCCTTCTTTCCTTTGCACGCAGTATATAAGTCGGAACGGCCGGGATCGGCCGACTATATCCTATAGCTGCCATATAACTGAACGATCGGAAATGCCATAACTTTGGTGTTTTTAAAGTTAGGAAGTTGGGATTTTCTATGGGTTTTACATTTGGCCAATCAATTTGACGTACCAAATTTTTTAAGGATCGGCCGACTATATCCTATAGCTGCCATATAACTGATTGATCGGAAATGCCATAACTTTGGTGTTTGTAAAGTTAGGAAGTTGGGATTTTCTATGGGTTTTATTTTTGGCCAATCAATCCGACCTACCAAACTTCATAAGGATCGACCGACTATATCCTATAGCTGCCATATAACTGATTGATCGGAAATGCCATAACTTTGGTGTTTTTAAAGTTACGAAGTTGGGATTTTTTATGAGTATTAAGAATGCATCATATGAATAATTTTGGAAAATATAATTTACAGAGTATTCTGCAAGGGTATATCAACTTCGGCTCCGCCCGAAGTTAGCTTTCCTTTCTTGTTTTGATTATCGATTTTTTTGTTTTGTTATATTGGTACACTCTTCCCTAACATCTGTACCAAGTTTCAATGGAACATCCTCTTTTGTTTGGTTGTGAGAGGCGTAAAGTTACAAGTTCTTTTGCGAGCTCGGCGATTTTTTGCTATCGAAAAATATGGATCAAAGGATTTGCATCAAATTTTGTGTAAAAAATAAAATTAAGTGCTCTGAAACACTTGGAATGTTGACAGTGGCATACGGTGAAACTGTTCTGAGTAAAAAAAATGTGTACAAGTGGTACAAACTCTTCCAAGATGGCCGGGAAGATGCCAATGACCAGCCTCGCTCTGGACGCCCAAGCACGTCAACAACTGATGAAAACGTTCAAGCAGTGACGAAAATTGTTTTGGAAAATCGTCGAATCACTATCAGAGAAGTTGCTGAAGATGTCGGTATATCGCTTGGCTCGTGCCATGAAATTTTTTCAAACGTTTTGGGTATGAGTCGTGTGTCAGCGAAGTTTGTTCCGAAATTGCTGAATTTTGACCAAAAGAACCGTCGCATGAGCATCGCTCAAGAGCTGTTGAATGACGTCAACGACGACCCAGATTTACTCAAATGGGTCATAACTGGTGACGAATCATGGGTATATGGTTATGATATCGAAACCAAAGCCCAATCGTCCCAATGGAAGAACCCAGGCGAGCCAAGACCGAAAAAAGCAAAAAATCGCCGAGCTCGCAAAAGAACTTGTAACTTTACGCCTCTCACAACCAAACAAAAGAGGATGTTCCATTGAAACTTGGTACAGATGTTAGGGAAGAGTGTACCAATATAACAAAACAAAAAAATCGATAATCGAAAATATGTTGCCCGCGAAATTTGAAAAGTCACCTTACTTTTTGAACACACCTCGTATATATGTGCAGGTAAAATTGTCACAAAAATTTCAAGACATGTGACTGAAATAAACATAAAAATTCAGGATTTGGGTTCGATTTCCAAATCCATCACTTAATGAAACTGCACCTTCTGACGAAGCACCTCAAAATAATTTAGCTAAAGGGTATATTGTATTCGTGCAAAAGTATGTAACAGGTAGAAGGAAGCGTTTCCGACCCTATAAAGTATATATATTCTTGTTCAGGATCACTAGCCGAGTCGATCTAGCCGAGTCCGTCTGTACGTCTGTCTGTCCGTATGAACGCTGAGATCTCGGAAACTATAAAAGCTAGAAGATTGGCATTTTGCATGTAGATTTTAGGAGTTCCTACGCAGCGCAAGTTTGTTTCAAAATGGTGCCACGCCCCCTCTGACGCCCACAAGCCACAAGCTGTGGCCACAGTTTTGAAGCTATTATAAAAATTTTAATTGATATGTATTTATTTCGTCAATACCTATCGATTGGCCTAATAAAATTTAGCCACGCCCACTCTAACGCCCAAAAACCCATTAAACGCTTAAGCCTGGCTTGCGCCTACATTTCCGCCTTTCATGGCGCCATCTAACGGATGACTTTGGACCAGCTGGCCAAGGTGCTCAACAGAGTCAACGTTAATTCTCGATAAGGATTTCTATTAAAGGAAATTGCGATGCTTTTCATTTGTCAATACCGAACTATATCCCAAGAACTATGCAAATTAAATCAAGTTAGCCAAATTGGAGGTCTGAGTCAAACAATGGCGTATGTGTGTATGCTGGTGCAGGAAAAAAGCTGCCTGCGCTAAAGCAGCGCTGGTGCTGATGCTCGTGCTGTAAAGCTGCCAGCTCTAAGAGATCGCCGAATTCAAATTGATAATTTGAACCTTTTGTCCTTTTTTCCTGTGGTCACTCTAATTCACATTATGTTAATGCAAAATCTAAAGTTGTTTAGCTGAGTAACGGGTATCTAATAGTCGAGGCACTCGACTATAGCGTTCTCCCTTGTTTTGATAAAAGATCCCCCCAATCCGACGAAGTCCTAGCCGAAAACGTCCCAGTGCTAACCGCTCTCAAATCAAAACCTAGTTAAAAGGCAACTCCTGTTGCCACGAGAATCATTACAAAAGTCCAATGAAGTCAAAATTTTAAATATTTTGTATACACAAATCAACAGGTAATTAGCAATTTTTTTAAAATAATTTGTTTTCCAATTTAAAAAAAACTTGTGAAAAGTGCTGAACAAAATAAAAAAAGCCGTGAAAACTAAAAGAAGGGCTTCCTGTTTACCACGAAAATTATGCCCCATGATAAAAAAAATCAAGAAAGTATGCCTTTTTTATCGTTTAAAACCGTTCCCCCTTAATGTGCTTAGCCAGCCCAATCGCATCACAGCCTCCATATGGACTCTTCTTTTATTCCCAAACCCCTCAATAATGCAATGGATCATCAGGAATTTGAAAGATAGTTGTTCAACAGTATCAGTTTTTCAACTCAATGGAGCAGAAAGTCAAGAGGGTCGAACCGAAGAGTTAATTGAGAATAATTTACCACTTCAAGGGCAAGCCATTGAGCCGATCTTGGTGGCAACCAACCAGGACGATATTCAGATGACAGTAAAATTATATTGACCCTGACTCACCAAATGCGGTACTCTTGCGAGCCCATGTTTGCAAGGGCTTTCAGTCACTTCAGCAAATGCCAAACCGTAAATACAGACTGACTTCAGTTAATAATATTGTAGCCGACTATAGTCTTACTTAGTAAGTAGGAAAAATATATTAAGTAAATGAGATTAAACTAAATCGAATTAGGCATAATGTTCTCAGTCTTATACTAAAAATCTGAGAAACATAATTTCTGTAAGGATTAAAATCAAAACGAGTCTGTTTGTTCGTGAAATATTACTGAAGTATAAAAAGCCAATGCGAATAAATTGTCTGCTTATTTTGTTCTGATTAACAAATGTGCCGAACGACAAGAAGTATTCTGAGTTTGAATTTTAGGCAGTGAATTTATTCTTCTTTATAGCTAGTCATCCAGCTCCCCAGTCCTTTTGAATCCGAGCTCCTTTCATCTTCCGCTGGCCAGAGGCCTGAAAAGTCATTGACCGTGAAGTGGGAGGGGCGGCAGGTCGGGACGGGACGGGACAGTAATCCAGTGAGGAGGCATGCTTGATTGCACTAACCCCATCGCCCGAGGTCCTGGGAAGGTCCTGCTCCGGCCCAACCACATTTTAATATTCGGCCTTGTATTTAAACTATTTCTGGTCGTGTGCATATTTTTCGATTTTGACTTTGGCCCGTAGAGTTTCTGGTTGCCAGAATTCCATTCCGGGTCAGATGTTAAGCCGCAGTGGCTTGAAAGAGGGCCAGCCCAAGCGGGAAAAATACCCGAAGTTAACTGATTGGCTGGCTTGGGACTGCTGGGTCTTTATCGGGGTTTTGGCAGCGACGCAGCTCCAGCCGGAAAGGCTCTTTAATGTTGGTCCGTTTCAGAGGAGGAGCACCCTAGCCCTGGCCTCCGATCACCCGGCTTGCAGTGGTCAGCGCATTTTCCTGCTCCTGCAGAGCCTCAGATGGTGGAGCTCATTGTCAAATCACACAGTTCCCTGGACAAGAACATATGGCTTTAACGACGGGACTAGCACATTTTAACGCTTAAGCTGTGTGCAAGAGTATCTCTGTCCGGGTGTCTCGTGTATCCGTGTAGTTTTACTTTGGCTTTTGCAATCCAAACGTTAATGGTCTGTCAATTATCGCCACCCAGTGTGTGTAACGATAAGATATCGCCCCCAGACGCAAAACATTTCATACGCACCCTCTTCGTGTCTGCTGCCTGGTGTCCATTCCTCTGGGCATGAGAATCCGAGTATCTGAGTATCCGCGTATCCGTGTATCCGTGTTCTCCCAACACTTTAGTACATCATTTAGTTCGAATTAGTTATGGACATAGAGCACACAACTCTCGCCCCAGCAGTCGTAGAGCCGAAGACACACAATCGAACGAAACAACTTTCCCCAGGAATCCCAAAGAGCGTCCATGGGGGAGTGGCTGTGGAGGTCAGGGGTCGGCTCTGGTTGCCCTTTTTACATTTGTATTTATGGTCAAGCCAAGCCACTGCTCAAAGACAATGACGCCTCTGCGGAGGGAGGACCTGTGCGAAAACCAAATTGGCATTCGACCGGGTCGCCATTGAGAGAAATTTTTGATAGTTATCGGGTGGAAATGACTTACAAGTGCATATACGATGGGAGCATGCAACACAAAATGCAAAACAAGATCAACGAGTTGATTGCTTCGACTATAACATCCTGCTACTAACTTTCGCATATCAAATTGTTTCATTTTAGGGCAACAAGGATATATTGATCTATCCTTTCAAAAGTATTGCCCAGCGGAAAGCAAAGTATCTCACCCAAGAAGGAACTTATTATATTTTCTTGATTCAGCCATGCCTTTGCGAAAATGTAGATCTCTGAAACCAGGGGCGTATTCATTATTATATGAATAATAAGAACAAATTTTGTGTTTCATACTTTTTGAATACAACATTTTAATCTGTCGGGAGCTATTGGAGATAGATCCCCTTAGCTTGTTGCTTGTTTTAAGTTTAGTAAATGTAATGATTGTGAAGTACCAGTTTTTCACAGTGTTCGAGGTCGTTTGGTACTATGAAACCGACAACAGACTGGCGAAACTCAGTTTGTTCCCATTCCCATTTATTCCTGTGTCTTGGAGTCCTCCGACTACAGGATTAACTGACTAAGTACCCATTAGAGTATGACGAGTGTTCGAGCACTACGACCACCATCCCCTGAAACTCCTTTCGCATCCTATGCCCTGGCGGTTCATTTGTTTAGACCTCTTAGTTAGGTTTTTGGCTTCCTGAGCGGTGGCGTCGGCCGTGAGCTCCTTCTAGAATTGATTTCACTATGCCCCAACCACCGGAACTGGCTCCAGCCATTGGCCTCCGTCATTGTTCCTCTTGTTTGTCTTGTGTAAGTATTTTTATTTCCTTTCATGCGTATTGGAATTTTATTATCAGCTCATATAAGTGCGATAAAATGTTGGCGTACGCATGTGTGGGTGGGCGCACTCCCATGCCAAGAGCTGCGAAGGGAAAGGGGGCAAATGTGAACTTACCAGGAAGCCCCGGGCTAAAAGTTTCCCCCATCAAAATGAAAAGTTTGCGATTGGTTTTGCCTTGAAATATTTTCAGTTTTGCTTTATTTATTTGATGTATTCTTATGCTGACGCAGTCTAGGCCGCTCCGCATCCTATTTGGTATCATTACTTTATTGTTGTTATTCGCTATTATTATTTCCGTAAGCTATGATAATTATTTTTGAAATAGTTTGCTTTTCTTAGAGCTTAGCCTACGCTTCATTTAGTTAATAACTCTCATAATTCTCAAAAAAAAAACAAACTTTTCCATTTCATTAAAATAGTTTTCATTTCAGTTTTTCCGTTTCCATGTCCACTTCAGTTATTTTACAAACTCGTATATGTGCTTTATTGGTTGAGGGACCTTAAGAGTATGCTATATCATTCACAAATTAACGATAACAGATAACAATTCAACGACTTGGAAAATCAGGGTACAATTTCGATAAATCAACAGTATAATGTGTGTGCTTGCTTTGGTGTACGTATCAATTAGTTAGTTAGTTCAAGTTGCAAATTTACCAATTAGCTATAATTAATAAGCGTTTTCTTTGGAAGAACTTAACTTAAGAGCATTTTGCACTGATCTGAAAGTTGAACTGTTTCCTTAGTCTTAGCCTAGCCTTACCGACTAAAACTCTAGTCTAGCCGAAAAAAAAAACACTCACCAACACACTCACTCGAACACACGCACACCGAGATACTCGCGTATATGTATTGGAGTTTTTAGGAAAGTATAAAAACAGTTGAGCTTGTCCTCGAGTTTCCTACGGGGTTTCATGGAAATGTGAGCTGGGGCACCGCTTACGCCTAAGTACACAAAATCCGAGCTTAGGGCATATATGTTAATAAATGGAATTGTTTTACAAACTACTACACACAAAGGAGTATTTACCTATCAATTATTTGTCACATAGAAACAGTTAAGAGGACGGCTGTTGAAATCAGGGACCAACCGCCTTCACCCCTGCCGATTGGCACAGAACCGATCCTGATCCAGGGGCCTTGCCTCTGGAATCCGAGTCCAGCTGTCCTTCGCGGCAGGCCAAAGGTTTTGGTCCGTGTTTCAAAACTCAGTTTTGATATTTCACTATACACGTAAGCTTACACCAATGAGTATATCTGCTATGGTTGCTCTTCCCAGAGCTCTTCCGCCCCGCGTATTGCTTCTAGCAACGTGGTAGCCTTTGCTCTAGATACCCTGATTCTCCCCCCTCCTCGCTGCGCATCCTGGCAGTTCCAATTCCAATTCCAATCCCAATCCCCATACTGCTAACCCCTTGGTTCTATCTGATACACATAGCTAATGAATATATTTACTTCACTCTTAGATCTCTAGATTAAGTGACTAGCCTAGGTACGACCTCAGTGTCTTAAATGCTCCTATATATCTCGGCCCTATACTTACACGAACTCAAAGTCCAACGGAAAGTGCCCTGTAAGCGGGGATGGCATCAGGGTCAGCGCCCCTCGATATTGTATTAATTGTGGGGCTCATTTGATTTATGGTGTCTGTTCGTGTGTGTGTGCGTGTCACTCTGTCAAGTTGAGTACCTCTCCGGAGGTCTGGGCTCTGGAGGCCCATCGCTCTGTCTGCCAACTAACTTGGACCTTTCGAATGTGGAGTGTCTGTGGTGGAGGCGCTGACCTCGAGGCCCCGCTTGCTACCTCATCATGCCGATAACTTATACCTGATAACTGCTAACTGATAACTGTGACTAACTAACTCTAGGCGTCGACACCATGTATCGACTTTGAATCACCGCCAGCTAACCCAAAAAGTCAGCTGCAAGTCGGCCTTTAAGGATATGAATTTCTTTCACACTCTTAACTAATCGTTATCATCTGGGAGTCGGAGTCGGAAGGGACTGTGTGCTGTGGTGGAGTGGGAATAGCCTGCTGCTCGTGATATGTGATAGGGTTTGGGAGCAGCCTACAAAAACTACGTTATCCTGTTAAAGCGAATCGTATCATAGGGGCAACTTATGGCTACTTTGGAATGTTAGTCGCGTGTTTACTGTGGGGTCGTGTGTTGATTACATCGCTAGTTTGGGGTTTGCTTAATGTAATTGTTAAAAATTTTACCTAGCCTACAGCTCGTAATGCGCTCCACTCCAATATAGGCCTATCCGAGTAGAGGTATATACAGATCTATTTACATAAGTAGCTGAACCTTAATGCTATTGGAGAACCCAACAAACGCCAATCGAAACAAAACGAAACAAAAGCCCGATGCCCAATGCCCGTTGAGTGGCAGGTTGAGACCTCTTGTGCATCGATGGCTTGCTTTTGGCACACTTCGCCAATCCAATCCGTCAATCCCATCTGTCAATCCATTCCGCATAGTACAGGAGTCCCTCCGGAAACAGGACACTCCCACAGTGTGTGCTATTGCTGTTCGCATGATTGCTGCTGTCGACCTGTTCAGCGTTTTTAATCACCCCATGTGCATGATCTTCTTGAAGGCCTTGCGAAACTCGGGGTTGAATATCGTGTAGATCACCGGGTTCACGAAGCTGTTGATGTAGCCCAGCCAGGTGGTCATCATGTAGGCCGTCAGACCCGGTCGGCAGTCTTTCTTGAACTTGGCGCACATGGCGTCCATGATGTTGCAGCTGAAGAAGGGCAGCCAGCAGAAGAGGAAGACACCTGTTTGTCGATTGCGAAACGCGGGCAATGGGTTGGGGTTGACGTTTAAAATATTCAAATTCAGGGCCTCTTGTTAAACTTACCCAAAACGATGGCCAGTGTTTTGGTGGCCTTGCGTTCCTTTTTGGCCGACGATTTTTCGCGTTTCTTTTTCGAGGCCTTGTGCACCTTGTATATCGTGAATCTACGACACGCAAGGGTAAAAGGCCATGGTGTATTGCATTTTCCGGAAAGAAAAAAAAAGTTGTGTGGGGAGGGGGGGAGATCTTATTACCCGGCCAGCAGAAAAGTCGAACTAATAACTGTAATTAGGGGCGACGGACGCCGTTACTCACCTTGACGCCTGCGAGTTCTTCTTATCCTTGCGCGAGGACGTTTTCGATGTAGTCGATAGCGTGGAGTCGTTGCGTGCCAATGTCATGGCCTCCTGCACCCCGTAGCGGACAAAGGACAATGGCTTCATGGCGACGCTGCAAACGGAAGAGTCGGGCGGAGTGAAAACGCAATCTTGGGGCGGTAAACTACGCTATTATGGCACTATTTTCGGATTGCCAGATTGCCCATTTGCGGTTTCCGCGTGGAAATCGCGAAGAAAAGTGCGAGGACTCAAGCTAAATAGGTAAGGGGGTCGACGGGGGAATGGGCCCTGGACTTAATCATTCCATTATATGAAAATGTGATTGGAAAATCAATTAATAATCGCGCAAGATGGTGTCTCACAGAAATCTCTTTGAGCTTAATTTCGTTGGAATCGAACCGTTTAGCCATATGAAATTACAACCGAATTAAGTTTTTTAAGACAAATTGTGTAGTAACCATATCGTCATTGTATATCACTCAGAAAGCCCTGCTTGTTTTAAAATATAAATAATGTGGACTATATTGAAACCTTATATATTTAAAGTCTATTGAAAGGTGGTGGTTTTCAGTTAAATAAAAAATGTTGCATGCTATTTTACACTGTGTCGTATATTTGTTTTCTAGTCTTGCCTGTAAATATTTTATACCAATGGTGATACAAAATGATGGCAATCTTTTCGCACGACCCATAAAGTAAAAGTGTATATGGATGGGTATTTTCAGTAACCAAAAACTAAGAAATACATGAGGGCGATGGACTTCGGTAGGGCTACTAACTAGCCCTGCTACCAAGCTAACTACTCAGGGCTGCAGGCCAATAGAGCTGAATTCCAAATACCTGGAGTTATCGACACCGACTGACCTGAGGGCCGGCTCGCCGCGCTTCGGCGAGTCGTCGGCGGTGGGGCGCCGCTGGCTGCTGACGCTGGACCGCTGGAGGGTGGCGCCACTGGGCAGCGGACTGTCCGGCGGCGAGCCGCTGCTCCGTGGAGCTGCGGATGTGGCGGCGGAGGCGGAGGCGGGCGCGTTGGAGCCAACGCCCACGCCTGCAAGGACATCGTCAACGTTTGAGGCTGCATAACCAGAATCATGATTACCATTCGGATCGGCGACGACCAGCTGCGGCTGAGTGGTGATCTGGGCCACAACGCTGCTGCGAGTGCGGTGGAGTGGTGTGGATGACGAGGAGTTGGTGTTCAGTTTTCAGTTTTCAGTTTCCAGTTTTCGGTTTTCCGTTTAAGTGCGCCGCGGCAATCAATCAATCAATCGATGGTGGAAGGACGGCCGGTCAGCGCGGGAAAGTCGGCGTTGATGAGGGTCAAAAAGAGACGGAGAGAAGGGAAGCAACGTCAATTAAAGGCAAGGCAAGATTGAGTTTTAATAAAGTGACGCATTAATTGAATTATTCGGAATTATTTTTCCCAGGCATTGGCTGTGATTTCTTTGGGGCAAAAGTTTCGCGGTCTCGCATCCATACCCCCCCGTACCCCATCCCTTTGTGCATCCAGCCTGTCATTAATGGTTTCATTTCATGTCCTTATTGGATTAAGAAGGCCATCAGGATGCTAATTGGCTGCGCTTAACGCTCGCACTTAACGGCGGTTTCAGGCAGGGATTCGTATGGAGGTGGGGATGCGGGGATGCGGGGACTCTGATTGCAGGGGGAACGCCGGAGGGGTCTTTTTGGCAGGACCTGATTAAAAGTGCAGCACGCCCATTGAAAGTGCTTCTTTTATGTCGGCAATTGAGTGGTGCCGTGGCCGAACGCATCCCGCCATTAGATTGACAGTTTCCATGGGTCGGGTCGTCTGGAATTCCCTTCGAAGTGCAGTCGCGACCACTCAGCAGAAACAGGCGCTGGCTGGCTTATCTATTACGTGTTTGAGACACGTGCCACGGCGCCAGGCTGCAAGTTGCGGCATCGAAACTGCTGAGCTCCGAACTTTTCCAGTGCCATCGCAGATAGCCCCCGCCCGAACCTTCGTTCTTTAGGACGGAACTTTGCAGTCAGCCTGGCGAAAGGAGCTGCTTTTCAGGCTCCGTGCACGTGGGGCTTAGATGGCTTTCTGGACGGGCTCACACATGAGTATGAATCCAATCCGAGGCCGTAACGGGCTTATACTCCTGGGCATCCGCCGCCAAAACCAGGTCCCGCAGCCCAAAACCCGGTCCCCAAAATGACTACTCACTTGCCCGTCTCCTCGACGACGGTGGCCAGCATGAACTCGGTGGACTTGTCGTTCACGATGACGTGGCAGTCGTCGATGTCCGGCGAGATGGCGTTCTCGTCCTCCTCCTCGTTGGAGCCGCTGGCCGTGTTGGTGGCCGCCTCGTCCGGCACAATCCTGCTGGCGTGGCGACTGCTGTCCAGGGCCGTCTCCGCCAGGCGACGGGTCTGGGCGATGTTCTCGATGACGCTGCCGCCCGTGAGTTCCGAGAGGTGTGGCTTGCGGGCCGCCCGCTGCTTTCGCGCCCGACTTCTGAGGGCCTACGGATGGGATACAGAATACAGAATTCAGAACACAGAATTCAGAACACAGAATACAGGATTCGAAATGGAAAGAGCTGATTAAGCAGTGGCATGTTGCACTCGCATCTTCCGGATATTCGTCGCCAGTCAGCAGCTAATGTGCACAAGCACAAAACCCGACCCCCATTGCAAGTGGGGAATTGTGCCGCAGACGGCAGGAGAATCCGATTTTGATTGAGGTCTGGGTGATACCACAGCAATCCCAGCTATTTGGGAAACCGATGAAAGCCAAAACACAGTTTGTTTTTCAGGTGACAAAAGCTCTAGCTTGGCTAAAATCTTCCATTAATAATTATTAAATTACCCTGCTGCTGGTTCCCCCTTATTTTTCATTGTGTTATATGTCTAATTTCGAATCCAGATGAATCTAATATGGATCTTCATCCTCCTGCGCCACTCACCTTGAAAATGTTCCAGTAGAGAAACACCATGATGATGCAGGGTATGTAGAAGCTGCTCAGCGAGGAGTAGAGTATGAAGTCGGCGTTGTAGAAGGCGCACACATCCGGCTCGCGGTTGGGCGTGTTGTTGAGGCCCAGAACTATCGGCGAGCCGATGGCAGCCGATATGGCCCACACCAGCAGTATCGTAAGGCAAACGCGGCGGCTATTTTTGTGCTTGGCGTACTTTATTGGCTGTGTCACAGCGATGTATCTGCGGAAGGGTCACTCGGGGTCACCGGATGTTGCAACTCGCCGGGGCGGAGGAAACTCACCTGTCTATGGAGATGGCAACTAGGTTGAATATCGATGAAGTAGAGCATATCACATCCATGGCTATATAGAAATCACAAACGACATCAGGCAGGGCCCAGACTCCATTTACCTGCGAATGGAAAAAGGGAAGGGGGCCTTGTGAGCACACTTCATTTGTTCGGCACTTAATCGACTGTGGGAGGGCTCTATCGGAATGCCCTTCCTTTGTCGAATATTAATAACAATATTTTCCCATTTCCCAGCCTGCTGCCACAAATTAGTTTTAGACTCTATCTCTTCATGGACGTCTTCGGCAGCCCCAAGCAGAGTCCATAAAAACCTCGACAAAAACGTCAGGAATTTCCCAAGCCAAACAATTTGTAGCACACAAGGCACATAAAAAGGACGAGTGGGCCAGTTGGGTGGAAGGCTGTGGGATTGGGTGCGGGCTGGATCGAACCTGACATGGCTGCACGTGTGCACTCCCTGTAGAAAGTGTAAGGGTATGCTGAATTCGAGCAGAAGTATGTAACCGGGAAAATGAAGCGATATCCCAGGAAGTATTAGCCACAAACAGATAAATTCTGGTTCTCGTTTTGCCATCTCTGCAAGCCCCGAAATTCGAGATACATTCATAGTTAAGTGTTATCATGTATGATAAAAATGGATGTTATTAAAATAGTAATTAACCTATTAGCCCTATTTACCAAATATTAGCAAGAAAGACTTATGGTAGTGAATAACTGAAAGTCGGTGTCATTACGTTCCGTCTTGTTATTCTTCTCCAATCGGTTTTTTAAATTAGACAAACAAACTGAAACTCGAACCAGGGCTCATCCTCAGCAAGAAGTGTAAAATATTTGTACACCCACATCCACACGAAAGTGAAAGTCAAGTGAAAGCAGCATAGAAATATACTAAAATGGTCGGGCAGTCGCCGACTCTGAGTCTCCTTTCCCGGAGCTAAGCGAGCATAACAAAAGTTGAGCTCGGCTAAAGAAAGTGGGAAAAACTTTTGGATATAAAGACACACGCACGAATGCTCATCCTTTGCCCTCACACACACATACACACACACACACACTACACATTCGGAGCTATGACATTTTTTACAGCTTTTCTTTGGCTTTCTGTTGGAGTCCATTGACGGGCACATTGCGTATACGAGGCGTATGCCCAGGTTTTGCTTGCCTGCAGCTAAACTATAATTTATAATGTATTCTTGGGTATTGACCATAAGTGTGTATATACATTACAGACCCTGTTCCTGTCATCTTCGCTTAATGTTTTTGTTTATCCCCATGTCTGGACTCCATCGCTGATTTTATTTTTCAACCCAGCGATTCTTCTTCCCGGATGCGGCAAATGCTTTTGAAAGTAAGTAACCTTTTTATATATCTGGCCTGGCAATACAAATGGTTTCTCGTTTTGTAATGTATTTTCCAGGACATTCAATACACTCCTCCATCCGTTTGACCCAATTTTCGAATAGAAGTTTCGATTGTTTTTTATTTTTGGATTTGTAACCTGAGCAGATGTTAAGTGTTTTTTCAGCTCATACTCTAATCGTTATCCTATTTTTTAATCCACATGAGTACACAGATTTTAAGCAATGTGCGATGACTATCTTCGTTCATCATTTCACACACAGCTTAGCAGATCTGTCCATTTAAAAACCTCACTAAATGGGTTCTTTTCTTAACCAAATGTTACATTTGTCGAATTATTTATGGCTTAATCTTAGAAAGTTTGCTTGGAATTGGTTTTTTTGATTCCTTCTGTTACTTTCCTTCAGCTGCAAGGTTCATTGAATTTTTTAATATTTTTCCAACCCCATTTCCCCGCCCTCTGGGCGCCGCCCAAAGTCTATTCCGTTTGCGTATTGTGGAAGCGATTTCCAATTCAGCGAAAGTGTCTCTGCCCCACCGTCCTTTTTGGCTGCTCGAAAATGTTCAATTTATGTATTTTGTGAGCATAAAGGCATTTAAAGTCAGTTGTCTGCCGGCAGCTGGCCGTCCTTCTCCTCCTCACCTACGTCCCTTTCTTTTTCTTTTCTTTTTCTGGCTTCTGGTTTATTTTAGAGCAGGAATAGAAAGAAAATTTCTATGCTATCGCCGTCTCTGCCGCCTGTTGTTTGTGTGCGGTTCCTGCAGCAGGGCATAAAATAAATAAATTTATCTATTTGCACAGTCAAAGGCGAGCGCACACACAAAAACCCAAAGGAAAAGCTTTCAGATACTCTCTCCGTCCCCCTCGCACCCACAGCAGTGGACCAGGACAACGGAAAAGGGGGAGGGGCGGGGATATGAGACAGGACACTCACCCACATACGCACAGGGAGCACACGCAGACAAAGGCTGGCAAACAAACAAACACACATAGCATTTTGATAATTGAGCTTCTGGTTTTTATAGTTTGCACGCTGATTCGAAGGGAAAGCAAAGGATACCCACACACACTGCATCGACTTGTGTGTGTGCTTAGGTACACCCAGAAAACTGTTACTGCACCTTTAGCTAAAAAACATTAAAACATCAGCAAATAATTAAAAACAAGTAAGATTAAAAATGCCAAGCAAAATAATTGATTTTAAAGTCATATATATTTTAAAAAAAGTGGACAGAAACAACAAAAACTAATTGAAATTCTCTGTTTGAAGTTTCGAGTGTTTTCCGATTATTATTAGATGGTTTTAGGGGGTTATTATTCTGATACTAAATTAAAGGTTAACTTCTAATTATTTTTCATTAAAAATTTGTTTCGCATGGGTATTTCAGGTGCAGATATAAATAGTTACTATTAACATAGGATTTTAATATTATTTCCAAATTAATTGACCAATTTCTAAATTTTAGAAACAATTTTTCGCAGTGTACGACTATATACTTTTTGGCTTAGCCTCATTTTCAGTGGACGAAAAGCGGGGAGTCCCCTTTGGAAAGGGAAGTAACTATTTGAACAAATCAGGGGAACACACTCGCAAATGAGAAAACTTGAGGGTGGTGATTTGGTTAAAAGGCTTGGTCAAAAGCTGACTTAAATACACTGGGAATCATTTCCCCGCTCTGAGCAAAGAAAGAAGTCCATCAGACTCCTGTGCAAACTCAACCGATGTAAAAATGTAAGATAATGTTCAACATTTCATGATTCTCTACCAAAAATGTTAAAACTGTCGCTGATAAACTAGTAAATAACCTCAAGAAGATTCAACAGAATGCACTTTCGAACTTAGCACTTCAGGAGATACAAGCAGACGCAAAACAGGTAATAAACTGTACATGAAAATCCTTTTTGAGTAAAAAAGACGTACCTAAGAGAACAAGGTTCAGCTATGGGTCAATCCCCCCACGTTATTAATAAGTGGAAAGTTTCCTGGCGTAGTTCCCAAAGAGATATCTCCCCCACCTTGAAAAATCCTAAAGATATACTATAAATATATATAAAAGGGGTAGTAGTATAAAAAAGGTCAGCCAAATGTTCACAGTTTGTGGTTGACACGGGGCAAGAAAGTTATGGCGTAACCAGCATTCGTAAAGTTTCTTAAATTCGACATGACTTAACAAAAAAAGTGTTTAAATTGTGTAAAAACATTAAAGTAAAACTCTCTTTTAAATTTCAGGTATTAGTTTGATATTAAACCACCAAAACTTCTTTTAGAAAAATTAAGAAATGCGAATAATTTGAAACCTAACTACTAAAAATCTAAAATAAATATATGAAATTTTGATTAGGCTCACAAATAAAGTCCGTCTAAATATTGTGTATTTTGGGCTATTCATATACAATTTTGAATGTTAAAAAAATTAAACCAAGTTGGATCAAAGATAATAATCCTGGCCTTTGCCCTTTTTAAGAGTCCAGAAAAAGACGTTGCACAATCCCTTGCAGTCTCCAATTATTTTTCTGATTGTAGAAGCAGAAGCTGCTTTTAATTAAAAGGAACAGTGGTCAGATTGCTAGAAAGTGAAGGGCTTAGAAAACGGATAAGCTCTGAAGCAACCTCGGACTTTTCTTTCAGACCGATTTCAGGACATGCCAAAGAGTCCTGTGAACTCAACAAGTCGTCGGCAAAGGACGCGTTAATTAGCCGCCATTACGCCAGCCCCGCCCCCGATCGCCGCCCCCGAGATTCGCTGTGGATATTTGCCTGTTTGTATTTACTTATAAGCATTTGGCAGTTGGCAGGTGAGCGGGGGTGGAGCTGGTGGAGCTGGCGACGATGCGTCTGTATCCGTGTCCCCATCCGTGTATCCTTGGTATCCTTGCACACTGCTGTGTGTGTGGGTGTGTGGCGCTGCCATTTCTTTATGCCTGTCAATTGCGCATTTTATTTACCAGTGTCGATTTATTTAATTTCGCTTTGCGCCGCTGTGTTTTATTTGCCCTGCCGCCACAGCCCCACTGCTTCCACCGCCTTTTTTCTCTGAGTGCTTTGGGTGTGCGGGAGAGGAGGAGGGGAGGAGGCGGCGAGAGTAATGAAGCGGAAGCGGAAACGAATTACTTTGTAGCAATCGCAGGAGCCTTGACCTTGCCCGCTCCTGCGCCAGCGCCATGTGCGTGTGTGCTCTGCATCTTCCCAGGACCCGGGACGCAGGACTCGGGACTCAGGACTCAGGATCCAGGACTCGGGACCCAGGACCCACAGCCCGGGACCCATAAAAGACCCGGGGCCCTGGCGCACGTGTCCCGCGTTGCAGGTCCTCCTGTTCATCTAGCCCTGCTTTTCGCCCTGCTGCTGCGGCTGCTGCTCCTCGTTTTGGCTATTAAAAGTTTCACGGCCCCGGGCGTCACTTAAATTGTTAGTGAATTGAAAGTGGCCCCAAAATTGTTCACTGGAGCAGCGGCAGCAGCAGCGGCAGGCGGAGCGGAGGAGTAAACTTCCCGGGGGGAACTCCAAATACGTGGGCGACAGGTAACCAGGGACAACATGAAAGTGTCATTGAGCCGAGCGGAACTTTGCGACTGAAAAGAACCTCGAAGCCCGGTCTAAAAATATATTTATCATATTTCTCGTCTAAAAATATAAGTTACCCAAATCAAATTCATTTATATACTTTTTACTCGCTGAGTCGGTGCACTTTTTGTAATAGGGAGAAAAGTCTTTGTACACAGACTTAAGAGGCACAAGTT